AAAAAAAGGCCATTGGAGTAAAGATAAAACATACGGAGGATTTTTTCCGTGTACACAAAACTTGTTGGGGATGTTAAAGCAGACCTGATATTGACGGTCTTGAAATACCCTTTCCGTGGTGCTGGCATTCTCCTCGACTGTTTCCTTCATTTGAATAGCATTTACCTGCTCACGAGATAAGGTTGGGTAAGTAGTTTAGCAAATGATCAAAATCTAAGATGAGAAAATTTTGGCCTGCAAGTGAATTCATTTGGGCATAATAACACAGGTGATTATGGAAAATAAACATGTCGTAAAGAAACTTTGAAACTAAATTGCCCAGACAACAGGTTATGAAAACCTCAAGGGTAGTTTTTATGAAAAAAAAACCCAAGGTTATATATATCATATTTTTTGACAATAAAAACCCCAAGAACGAGAAGAAAATAAAAGAAAAATAAAGTTGAATCTTGCCTTTATACGATATAAAGGAGCAGTAAATTGATCATTGAACACAAAGGAGTCACCATCTTCGACATCTCTGCCCTTTGGAATCTGCATGCCATTTTAGCAAATAAATCAGAAATTATATATTTCTTCATTTCAGAGAATTAAATAAGAAATTATACATATAGCTCACTAAAAACGAGAAAAGCACCGACTTTCTGAAGAACACGAAATTTCCCACATGCAAGGGACTGCAAAGTTCTCCTCAGCTCTTTGTCCTCAATACCAGTCGATTCCTTTATATCTTGAAAGCTCAGTTTTTCAGCATCATTAAATAGCATCAACACAACAGTCTTGAGCCACAGAATGGCACATGATTAGCGCATTTTTTTTAAGTCATAAACATCATAAAATAAAATATTAAACATAACAGAGGAAAAAAAAGAAAACTACCTGAAATAGAGAAACTGCCAGCTCCTTTTTACCTTTTGAAAATTCAGCCTTCAGAACACAATGACCCAATGAATTTTGCCACATTAATCGTCGCCCACTGTATTTGCTCAAGTAAAACTCCTTAAAAATATCCTGGATGGAAATTTTAGTTTGAAATTTGAAAAAAAAAAAAAAAAAATGGACGAAAATGTGATTAGTTTCTGTACAATGGCTGCTCTTGCATCAAAACAAACTTCAAACCATATCTGCACAGCCAAACCTGGTACACATTGAGTTCATGAGGCAGCCTAACATCCATTGGAGGATAAGTTGGCCAGTAGCTACATCAAAATTCAAATTAAACTTACAATTATTCATTTCAGATGGACTCTAACAAATTTAGGAAGTGTGTGAAGCTGAGAGTTACAAAGAGGCAATGAACTACAGCAACTCACCCAGTTGTTAACACGTGGACACTCATCTCAATTCCAGATGGGAGTTTCGTCCGAGCTTGTGATGATTGCTTGAATGAGTCATTTATCTCTTTTGACAGCTCAATGTCCTGTATTAAGAGTATGGTATATCAATAATACCCCAAAAATACACTCCTGTGTGGATGGATCTTTAAGCAGTTGGAAAAGTTTTTTATTTTTTTTTTTCAAATTATTTGCCTGGCCATGTACTGTACTGAAGGTTCATCAAGGGGATTGGGAATGGATTTCAAAGTACAGTAATAAGGAATGGCAATGAAAAACACCCATTTTACTTGTGGTGATCTGATCGGTTAGTAAAGGATCACTTTTTTATTATAGTTGATGGAGATTGATTTGTGAAATATAAAGGTATAACAATGACAGTCACTTCAAACTTCTAAAATTAGGTATATAGTTCATTTCCATCATTTTCTTATGTCCAACCATAAACCGCGCATTGATTCCTGCAC